AACAAACAAGGTAAACAGAATAAGAAGGGAAAGGTGGGTATGTCTGGATGACCACACTTCTGGTAACATGGTGGTGTGGCCTAATGGGCTAATGAACAGTGCTGTCAGGGTGTGGCCTAATATGCTAATGAGTTCTTGTTATTGGGTGTGGCCTATTATGCTAATGAGTTCCTGCTGGGCTTTTTCTACACAAAGAGCCCTGTGTCAAACCTCTTCATCTCACAACCGTTTGGCTCAAACAATGTGCCAAACAAGCTTGCAGATATGCAGGAGTTTTATTTTTTTCCCTGCCTTTTACAGCTACGTACTAATTGAAAGCAGTTTTCTTCCAAAGTCATGGGATGGCTGGATCAGGTAATTAAATTATCCTGGGGGAATGGAGAAGTATAATTCCCATGGGGTCCCTTTAAATTCCTGCTTTCTGCTCTGGCCAGGAACTGGCACGAACCCTGAGAACTGCCTTAAAAGTTCGTGGAAAAGTTCGTGACCATGGACCTGTCACGGACTTCAGTTCCTGATCCACAAACAGGGCAAAATTTTTCACAAATTTTGCTTCATATTTCAGTTCATGCCCATCCCTACTTAAACCACAATATTTCATTTCTGGTACTGTCTTGTTTTGCATTGGATGTCTGCAACAAGAACTACAACTATGTTATTGAAGTAATAACAAAGAAACTTTACTGAATGAGAGTTAAGATATAATTGTTGAGTCTGAGTCTACATCCAACTGTCAAACCCAGCAACTGTCACACAGTCTGCTCCAAGATTCCATTCGACTTAAAGCAACAGTGACATGAATATAATCACATATCTTTCCATTTTGCCATTGGATTTTTTTTTTCCAATTTGGTGAGAGTTGCATTTTGGGGAAGGAGAATACTGTTATGTAAGTTGTTGTCGAATTAATGATGTTACTAATATATCCCACTTTTCAACCAAAAACTGCCTCAAAAAACCCCCTTGTGTGAATTAAAAAAATCTAGTATGAATTAAACAATCCAATAAATATGTTCATTGGGAGGGGGATTCTGGATGGAACTTGATCTAGACAAGGTGGCTACTTTGTCCTGTCCCTCTAGCCTCTTCAATGGACGCAAGAACTCTCAGCTGGAGCTAGATCAAAGCATGATGGTGGGGAGCTGTTTGGTACTCTCTCTCTCTCTCTCTCTCTCTGATAGTCCCTTTTGCTGGCAGTTGTAAGTTAGGAAGGGGGGTAGATTTGGCTGGAGGAGGAATAAAATATCACTTCCCAAAATTAAGCTGACTACTTTGCTGGAACCTCTGGCATGTATACTTGAACATCTTGCCGAACATTTGATGCCTTATATGATAAGGTGATAACATGTGGCTTTTATGAAGAGGAACCCAGCAATGCTGATGGGGACTAATCTGAATGTTTGTGTTTAAGTTCTTTTGTTCTATAAATAGCACAAATGTGACTTAATGTTATATCACGTTCTGTAGCGGTTTGGGAATCACTTAGTGTAAAGTGTGGATCCCACCCTGATTAAGATGACTATCTGAGCCCAATGAAGCCTTGAGGACCTTTTCAAAAGTGAGGAAGGAAGAGCTGAATGTTCTTCTGTTCCAAGCAGGGGTCATTTCCTGCGGGAGTGCACAGGAGCGGAGCTCCGGCAGTAAGGAGCCCAGGCGGTGGGGCACATGCAGCAAGCCCCGCCCCCTCCTCCCAGCAGCCCTCAGTTGGGCCACAAGGAGCAAGAAGCAGCCAGGTAAATTGCAGGGCCCACCCACCTTCAGGTACAAGCTCGCCCTCCTCTGTGAGGGCAGATCTCTGTGTTCCCCCCCCCCATAGCTAGCAGTCCAAAATAGTCCAGTGGCACCTTTAAGACCAAGTTTTATTCAGGTACAAGCTCTTCCTCCTCTGTGAGGGCAAATCTGCACGTTCCCCCCCCCCCAATACCTAGCAATCCAAAACAGTCCAGTGGAGCCTGAGCGGTGGGTGTTGCCTTCTGACACACTTCCAGTGATGTCAGGGGGTGTGGCATATGCAAACAAGTTATGCTAATGAGTTCCTGCACCTCTTTTTCTACGAAATGACCCCTGGTTCCAAGTATTATCTCTTTGGTGCCCTGAAAGAGCTGAAACTAACTGACAAAGTAAACTTTTATTACAATGCTGCTCTAGGAAACAAACAGTCCTAGTTTTGCTGGAGAGAGTTCGTAACAGCTGCTCTGTTTTAAAGAGAAGAGACTGCTGGTAGTCCAAAAGCTGATTTACTTATAACCACTTGTCAGACACTGCTAAACCATTCAGGTGACTGAGGTCAGCTACCCAGCCAGGAACTCTTTCCAGCTGCCTTTGTTGAGATGCTATGTTGCTTTACTATAATATGGTGTGTTAGCTGAACCCTCCCTCCTTGTTCAGGTAAGTCTTCTGTTCTGATCCAGGTTGTCTTAATAAAATTAGGGCAGAAATATGAAATGGATACTTTCAGCAATTTTCCAAATGGTAAGATTTTAATGTGTTCTTCCTGCAGTTGTTTCAGTCTAATATAAATTGCTTCTGTGTGGTAGGATAATACCACAATTCTTACTTCACAGGTAGAGAACAGAAAACAAGCCAAGGGCCCATAAACCATGTTTTACCCTTTTCAGAGGTTGGACTATTCACTTCTCTATCTATAGCAAAAAAAACCCCTCCAATAAGCCTCACAATTTGTTTAATTCTTCCTGCCCATTCTCTGCCTCTGTCTCCAAGATATAAGTGAAAACATCGAACACTTGCATACCATTTGTGTGAAGCTGTTCATTGACCAGATAGCAGTGTTTCTACTTTTTCCTACCACAATGCCCCAGGCATAGGGATGCCAGCCTCCAGGTGGGGCCTGGGATCCCCTGGAATTACAGCTCACCTCCAGACTACAGAGATCAGTTGCCCTGTAGAAAATGGATACTTTGGAGAGTAGATTCTATGGCATTGTGCCCCACAGAGGTCCCTGTCCTCCCCAGGCTCTATCCCCAGATCTCCAGGAGTTTCCCAACCTGGATCTTGCAGCTCTACATCCTCATCCCTGGCAAGTGGCCAATGGGGACCTGGCAACCCTACCCCCATCATATCGTCTTTACCTTAATAGGTCACGCCCAACAGACTAGATGTTGCACAGTTGACTGTTAAAAGAATTGAACTTTCTAAGCATTCAACTTAGGGTTGCCAACTCCAGGTTGCAAAATTCTTGGAGATATGGGGGCAGTTCCTGGGGAGGCGACAGAGCTCAACAGGGATGCAGTGCCATAGTGGGATGTAATGTCTGTCCTCCGAAGCTGCCATTTCCTCCAGGGAAATTGATCTCTGCAGTCTGGAGATCAGTTATAATTCTGGGAGAACTCCAGGCTCTACCTGGAGTTTGGTAACACTATAGAAGACTAGTACCTGAATTCATGCTGCTGCAGGGCTACTACCTTGGGGATGTTAGACCTTTTGGGTTGCATGCAAAGCACCACCAGTGGACTAAAGCAGTCAAAGAGGGATTTCCCCTTCTCCCCCTCTGGTTCCATTGCATTAGCCCCCTTAGTCTACTACTGCTCCTGGGGGCTAAGGGTGGAGGGGAAATGGTGATATTCAATCTTCCCTCCACTGCCAATGTGTTATTATGCCAGAAGAATGGTATCTTTACATCCAACTACTGAAGACTAATAGTTTAATTTCTATCCATTTACCTATCTACCTACCTCCACCTGAGATCCCAGAGAGCCACTGCCAGTCTGAATAAACAATACTGACCTTGATGGACCAATGGTCTGATTCAGAATAAGGAAGTTTGGTGTCTGCTATCTATTATATGCTGCTTCCCCCTGCATTCTCTGTATGGCAGGTTTTACACAGAATGTGTAAAAAAGTAAAGGTAAAGGTTCCCTTGCTTGAAAGCCAGTCAAATCTGACTCTAGGGTTGCAGTGCTCATCTCCGTTTCAAAGCCGAAGAGCCAGCGCTGTCCGAAGATGTTTCTGTGGTCATGTGGCCGGCATGACTAAACACCAAGGCGCACGGAACGCTGTTACCTTCCCACCAAAGTGGTACCTATTTATCTACTTGCAATTTCTTGCTTTCGAACTGCTAGGTTGGCAGGAGCTGGAACTAGAGATAGGAGCGACAACTTGGGTCTCGAACTGCTGAACTACTGACCTTCCACAGCCTGCAGTTCAGCGTCTCAACCACCTGAGCCACCGCAGCTCCCAAATACTATATTTAGCAGTTGATTGTAACTAGTTTTAAGAAGCATCAGAATGTCTCATGCACTCAGTGACTGAATCTGAGACTTGCTAGTGCATCGTGAGTTTTAGAAAAGTAAGCATGCACTCAGGTTGTAGGATCATTTTTAAGGTATCAAAATTTCTTAGAAGAACATTATGACACCACCTGATCTCACGGTCCCCTAAGCAAGCCAATGTAGCCATATATTATAACCAGGAATCCCTTGCTTACATCGTGTGAAATTCTTAATGGACAGTATGTACAGTTTTTTTAAAAATCCTCTCCCCCCCCCCTTCACTTTTACCCTAGGGAGTAACTTTTTCATCCTACAATATATATTTAAATTATTTGAAAAGGAAGAAAGAAATGCAGCAGGAGGAGCTGGGACAAAGAGGATCAGAGACTTGAACTTAAATTGTGCCGTTCACTGAATGCACACGACTATCCCCCCGCCCTTTTAAATTACAAGTGGCACTTTATACCGCTCCTTGAAGGATGGAAGTAGAATGCGGCCAGGAGGGGATTTCTCTTCCAGCCATCCCCAGAGGGAGCTGCAAAAGAGTCCATTCCGCTGTCAAACTTGACCCCTGCTCTGTTCAGCATTAGTAGCCGTTACCAAGGCGACAGAGGCGATTCCCTCCCCTTGCTCTCGGCATGTCCTCTTGCTTCTCTTCTTTCACGGCTATCCCGTTAGCACTCGGGGCAAGATCTCGCGATGCTTGCCAAGTGGAGTGGCCGCCATATTGTGTGACACTATTTTGATTTGGCCTCGGCTGGCTGAGACGCAGCGAGAGGAGGCGGGAGGCGGTGGGGGGAGGGACGGGAGCGACTGGGAAGCCGGAACGGTTCCAAACGAGGTCGGGAGCGGCGCCCACAAAACACCCACCCCCCAACCCTTCCCGCCCTCCTCTGCCCGCCACCACAGCAGCAGCACGGAACCCCCCTTCCTCCCTCCCCCGGTGGCGGCGGGAGGAGGAGGAGGCGGCGGCGGAGTGGCTGGGGGGAGTCCCCCTCGCTGGTTGGAAGAAGAGGAGGCGGCAGTGGCGGCGGCTGTAGGAGGTGGAGAAGCAGCCGGCGGAGAAGAAGGGTAAGGCTTACCCCGCCGACGTGGGCCTGGCGGCGGCTTGCTCCCTTTCCTACCAGACGCTCGGCCCGGAGGCCCGTGAGAGGCAGGGGATCCTGGTCCCCTGGCTGGGCCCACGCCCGGCCGCCTTCTCCCAGAGGGAAGGGAAGAGCTGCTAGGGAAGCCCGAGGGCAGGGGCGGGACTGGCCCTCATTTCCAACTGGGCTCCGGTACAATCGCGTCTTGCTGCCCTGTCCAGCCAGAGGGAAAAGTCTCTGAGCTCCGGCTGGTGGTTTCCTTTTAAAGGTAGGAGTCGAGCCTGGGAGAGGGCTTGGCTAAGGTAGTGTGATGAGTCGGGATTTAAAGCCAGGTTCGGATTTGTAACTGTTTGGGTGTAGGGCTGGCCCAAGCTATTGATCCGCCCCAAAGTACCTTCCCCTTGGGCAGCCCCTGCGGTTTCCAGGATGGGCTATAGAAGCAGCATTTGCCTCTGTATAGTGGCAGACCAGATCTGGCCAGGGTGGGGAACTCTTATACTACTCCGTGAAGTCCAGGATGGGCTTCAGAGGCAATGCTGACGTTGCAGCCTGTCCTCGACCCCAGCACCGCCCCCCTCCCCCCCGTGCTGCCTGACATATCCAGGATGGGCTGTAGAGGCAGTGCATATCTCTGCATCCTGCCATTGACCAGGTGGCTGCACAGGATTGAGGGACTGTTATCTCTGTGCTATGAGAAGGTTCAAGAGAGGTGGTAATGGTAGTTCTTGCTTCTGTAGGCTGTCCTGGACCCAAAGGGTGCACAGGATAAGAGAATGACCCCTGGAGCTGTCTCTCAAGCCCGGCAAAGTCCAGGATGGGTTGCAGAAGCAGTGCTTGCCTCTCAAGCCCATCCTAGACTGCATGGCAGCAGCACAGATCTGAGGCAATGATCTGCGCAGCTTGCACCTGTTGCTACCTCTCCGGCTGCTGTGTTTGTATGGTTTAATGCTCCGAGTCCTCTAGAATGGTGAGCTAGCCCTGTTTGGAAGCACTATCGTACCTATTTGCTGTACAGGAACACCCCACAGAAATATCAATTCTATTGCTCTTCATGAACTTGCTGAAGCTTGTCTTCAAGTAGGGATTACTTGCGACAGTGTGCCTTATTTCTCATGTCTGAGGCAATTCCACCTGTTAAGTTGAGAAAATGATGGATCTAAGTAGACAAGCTAGGGCCTATTCCATGTTTGTTGTTATCAAAAAGATTGTAAAACGTGGACTGAAGTTGGGAACCAGAAGCACTAGAAACCTTTCCTCTGCCCTGCTAAACAAACTTCAAGGTGACAAGGAACTTAGGATATCTTTTGCAGGGAATGTTGTTTCATAGATGTGAGATATCCTTCAATTGGAGTGTATGACGTTTGGCATTGTTACTTATGAATAAAGAAGTCTGCTGAGATTGTGTGTGTGTATGTTGTGCTTATTCTTTTTCATTCTAATTTTAATTAGTTACAGGGAAGGACTTGCCCAAAATGACCTTGTAAAGGGTCCTGGCCTCTACTACTGCCATGACTGTTCACCTGATGGAGGCCAAAGAGTGGGCTGGAAAGAGAGAAGGTACTACTGCTATTCTCCTCCTTGCTGACATGGTGGCATTGTGAGGCTGGTGAGGAGGAACATGGCAGTGCCTGGCTTCAGCCTCTATTAGCCCAGATGTAGTGCTGTTGGCACCACTATTCCTCTCCAGCTGCCATCTTTCCCATGCTTCTCCTTACTGGTTGCACTGTGCCTTGGTTAGCCCAGGGCAAAGCTGGGTGTTGCCATGCTTGTTCTTCTCCTCATCCCAACACAGGGGTTCTGGAACAGGCAGCCCTTTGGGGCAGCAGGCCATTGGGACTTTTCCCAGTAAACTAAATGACCAGTCCGCCCCAGATTTCTGTTTATAGGAACAGCTGGTTCCTTCTTTTATCATGCTTTGGATTGAGAATATTTTATGGAGGTGTTCAGCAGTTGTTAAAAGCCATATAAGTAAACTTCTCAACAATTAAGTCTGGCAAAATGTAGTAAAGGTGTCACTTCTTAAGTTTAATGCTCTGCAGATAAAGCATTCATGATGCTATTGATGAAGTGTGAATATTGACTTTCTTTCCAAAGTGTATACAAGTGTTTAGAAGTAATTTTATTTGGGACTCTGTTTAGTAGACAGTACCAGAATAGAGCTGCGGTGGCTCAAGTGGTTAAGACGCTGAACTGCAGGTTGTGAAAGGTCAGTAGTTCAGCAGTTGGAGACCCGGGTGCCGCATGACGGAGTGAGCTCCTGTCTCTAGTTCCAGCTCCTGCCAACCTAGCAGTTCGAAAGCAAGAAATTGCAAGTAGATAAATAGGTACCACTTCAGTGGGAAGGTAACAGCGTTCCGTGCGCCTTGGTGTTTAGTCATGCCGGCCACATGACCACGGAAACGTCTTCAGACAGCGCTGGCTCTTTGGCTTTGAAACGGAGATGAGCACCGCAACCCTAGAGTCGGATTCGACTGGCTTTCGAGCAAGGGAACCTTTACCTTTACCAGAATAAATGTACAGTTGCATCATAGAATGCTATTTAAACCTTCGTCTGGTGTGCAGCTCCAAGGTAGTGAAGATCAGAGTGTGGAGTCAGCATACAATGTACAGTATCTGCATTTGCTCTGGCTTTAGGAAAGTAGCAATACTAGTAGAGTACTCTTAAGTATACTTCCTGCAGCTGCTGTTATTCTAGGCCTTTGGTGACTAGAACAAATGTGTAATATTGATAGCACCATAAATATTAACATATTTCTTCCATAGTACTAATTTCTGTTAACAGGGTTTAGTAAAAATATTTTGATTGTGTATGGAAATACCTTCCTTGCAGTGAGTTTCTGTAAATTTAGAAAAAGGAAATATCTGTCAATTTTTGTAAAATAGGTTTTGCTTAAATATTTCCCAATTTGGATGATTTCAGATTTCCATTTTTAGTGGGATAGTAGTGTTGTTGTCATAAGTCTATAAAGAATTGTATGTGTTGCTGCTTAAATTTAATGATGAAAAGTTTGAGCTAACATCACTTTTTCTGTGGGTGTAGAGTACTAGTTTTTGTCATTAATTTCATTAATATGACTAAATACTGACTAAGGAAAACATACAGTAGATTTTATTTCAGTTCATAGCTACCACCTTTTAATTGTGTAAAGTCACCTTTAAAGCACTATATGGTCAGGGGCTGACATACCTGAGGGACCACCTTTCCCCATATGTACCCCAGCGAGCACTGCATTCAGGGCCTCAAAATTAATTGACCCTCCCGGGTCCCAAGGACGTCAGACTGGCAACGGCCAGGGCCTTCTCGGTGGTGGCTTCGTACTGGTGGAATGAACTCCCAGAAAAGATCAGTGCCCCGCGGGACCTTTTACAGTTCCGCAGGGCCTGCAAGATGGAGCTCTTCCACCAGGCTTTTGGTTAAGGAGCCACCACCAACACCACCAACAATATCATCACTAAAGATCACTAACAACTGAGAAAGATAGAGCTCTATGCCCTGATTCTACCGTTACACCCTGTGTCTGCCGCATATATATGATAAAGATCAAGAAGCTGATGAGCAAGGCAGATTATATTAACATAACTGTTGCCACCATCCCTGAGTCTTAGTTAAAACTAGCTAGCACTTTATGACATTGGATTGTTTTTAGATGGTTTTATCTATGTTATGTTCTTGATGTTTTATCCTTTTGTAAGGGTCTGCTTTGGTGGGGAAGGCGGGGTATAAATTGAATAAATAAATAAATAAGACCCTCATGCCACTTGCATTATACACAAAAAAATTATCCTGATGTGAAATTATGAATATGCTTTATACTTCTTCTGAGGATTGCTGAGACATCACAATAAAATCTTTGCAGAAAATGCTAGATGCTGTAGCACCCTGGTGCCTGGGATTTGTTAAGCCTTGGCATAGCATCTTTTTCTTAGCGTTGAAGAAGTGCAGCTAGTCTCTGCAACAGTTAGGATATTGTTGGTAGGGAGTGATAAGGATTCTTGATTCAGAATGTGTGGCTTTCTGGCAGGCTTGAGTAGCAATTAGTATGTCTAATATCATATATAATGTTCATGTTTCTGAACATGGTGGATGGCATAGTGTAGTTGAATGACGGGTCTTGTTCTGAAATATACTTCAAGTAGCTTATAGATGTTTTGGATTTGCCTTTTGTTTGCAGTCCTTTAGCTTTTAAATTAATATTTTCAAATGGGCTGTTGTAACTATGAAACATATCCTATTTATTAAAAAGAAAATTGGACTTCAAAGAACACATATACTGAGTAAGTGACTGGGCCCCACATCAGTCGCAGGAATATTTTGCCAGCCTGTGAGCAAAGGATGATTTATATGTGGCATTTTTCCTACATGAATGGGAATTTTATATAGTCACATAGAGGACTGATAATTTATTTTGCCATGTGTACATAGATTAGCCTGTGTACATGCTTTTTTCTACACGGTGATGATGCAAAATACAAATTATTGAGGAGGGAAAAAATTAATGCTTATACTATGATGAGGGTAGAAACTGTAGTGTAAAAACTCACATTTTGAAGATGACTAGGATTTCTTTCCTTTAAATATGGATGTCTAACATTGTTTTGAAAATCTTTGGTATAATTACTTAGAGTGTTAACAGAGGGAACTGTGGAGAAGAAGTCATAATTTTTTCCCACCTAGTGGCCACTGAAAGTAGAAAGTTTTGGATTTGTCATACCTTGCACTAGGTGATCCAAAAGATGGAATAACTGACCGGGGCTCAGAGAAAGACCCTCGCTAGGAATTTAACCACATTCCATGTTTTCAGTATCTTGTAAGGCTAGGTGTATTTGTTAGAGCATTTTCTTAGAAACTGTGATGCTTCCCATCACTCATAATATTTTCTGGCTTTAGAAGCTCTCTGTTAGTATCTGTTTTAGACTAGCTTATTTAAATAGTTGCTCATTGAACAGATTGTTTCCTCTCCTCTAATTTATAACTTGTAGTATTAC